TCTTGCAATCAAGTCTTACCTGATGTTGAAAAGGTATCTACAGGTCCCTTAATAAATACTCTGACATGTTGCTGGAAGGCTAAGACCTCATTCTAGAAACATTAAAGCAAGATCCCTGGTATATAAATTATGCTCCACAAACATCTAAGCATTTCCATTTTTATGCTGCAATAAGTACCTTTTCAGTACAGTTCACTAACATTTTCTTTATAAAACTCACATCCTCCTGTCAATATCCAGGTGTTATCTTAAATTTTAGAATGAGCATGTGTCAAAAAAACATAGCATACTTTGTTCCACTGACATAATGATTTAATGGAATCAAATAAGTGAATTCAAGTTAGGTGCCACCTAATCTATTGCAAGATTATTTCTGATTGATGGTATATTTTTCTACTTACCATATTCCACTACTAGGACTGGCTTTCCCTATGTGTAACTGAACTGAAAAGGCTGCATATCCACACTAGCTGCTTTATATAATTATTACTCCTTAAAACATGTATAGCCACATAAACAGCATATATGTTTGTTGAATATCAAACATATTCACAATTTTCATAGAAAGGTTTGGGTTAGAAGGAGTCTAAAGATCATGTAGTTCCAAACCCTCTGCCACGGGAGGGGACACCTTGCACTAGATCAGGACGCTCATGGCCCCATCCAACCTGGCCTTGAACACTTCCAGGGATGGGGAATCCACAACTTCTCCTGACAACCTGAAACAGCATCTCACCATTTCAAACAGCAATACCACAGAACAGGCTGCACAGTATATTTTCTGCCAGCTCCCTAGACAGAAATGAATCTACAAGTTCAGGTTTCAGATATGGTTCTGACTCCAGCTTCCCTTGAGACTTCAGTGTGTTCCTGTGAGTCAAAAGTTTCAGGCAGATTTTCTTCCTTCTCATATGATCAATGTTAACAGTATTTTTTCTAAGCCCTTTTCTGGTCCTGAGTACCTATATTTCTAAAAGGACCTGTGCAAGTACTATATTAGTTTATGGTGAGAAAGTTTGTATTTATTCCTTGAAACTGACAAAGTGTTGTACATAATTTCCGTGCTAACTACTACATTTTACAACTGTTTCATCCACCTAAGATGCAAAACCTCTCCATTTTGGTTTTGATTCTCAGATTTTGTCACACATCACTTCAAAACATCCTCCCTCTGCAGTTGCCACCATCAAAGATGACTCACCTCTGCGCATCAGAAATTCAAAGTAAGAAACAAGCACAGCAACTGCTGCAATTTCTCATACTTCACACAAATTCATCCCTAAGTCCTCTCCAAAATATGTAGTTCTAGTGACTTACCTCTAGAAGAAATAAAATGTTTCACTTATCAAATGGCAAGTGGAACCTAATCTTTCCAAATGACTGAAAATTGCCTAAGTTGTTATTATTTGCAGAAAACATCATCTCCACGCCGGGCAGGCTTCCCAGCACTCCTCCTAGTCAATCTGAAAACAAATCATGTAACCCTCTACTGAAGTGGAACAGAATATTATTTTGGCAATTCCACTTTCACACAAGTGTTCATTTTTAAGCCCTGCCTCCTGCATAAGGATCACAACTCTGAGAACATAGTTTGAGGGAAGAAAAAAAAAAAAAAGCTTCTGACTTTTCCATGATTTTCTGTAACTACCTAGAATATCTGATGTGGGCGACACAAGTGATTTTTTTTTTAAGTTCTCCAATTAGACAAAAATAAAGAGGCTTTTTTTTAGGGGTATCTTATATATGTGAATAACTGGAATGTTCTGCTGATACACTTCCTTAAAAGACATCTCAATCTTAGAAAAATTGGTCCAAAAGTAGGCTTGGATCTACACAATCCTGGAGACAACCGGTACAAGTGGCCCACGGCAGTGAGCTGACAGACATACCGAGTGCTCTGGTACACACTCACTATGTGCCCACCCAGATATGTCCCTAGCACCTTCTCAGCCTCGCCTCCCTATGGACCAAAGGCATTTGCTGCCAGACAAAGCCATGTTACAGAACCACAGCCCAGCTCTCAAAATTATATGTCAAAAAAGCAAACTGACACGGGCCCGCCCTGTCATCTTCAACAACGATTTCTCTGTTGTGACATGAGCTATGCGGTGGCACCTGCGTACGCTTCCATTTCTCGGCACAGAGAAACAAGGTGGATGCGTGTGCAGCAGGAGCTCGCACGCCCCAAGGCTTCCCTCCCTCCCCGGCAGGACAGAGGGCGATGTCCGCGCACCGGCGGCTCCGCGGAGTGCCCGGGCACGGCGGCCCCGTGGAGAGCCGGGGACGGCCGTCGCGGTACCCCGCCGCCCCCCGAGAAGAGCCGCTCACCTGGCGGGTCATAAGCGACTTGATCTTCTGCATGATGGCCCCGCCGCCGCCCCGACTGCGCTCAGCGGCCGCGCAAGGCGCCGGGGCACGGCGCAGCCATGTTGGGCGCCACCTGACCGCGCCCGCCCGCGGCTCCCCGGGAGCGGTAGTTCCAGAGCGGCCGGCCCGACTACAAGTCCCGGCAGCGCGGCCGGCAGGGCGGGCCTGGAGCTGCGGCTGCCGGGGTGGGTGGGGTGTTTGAGTATTGGGGTTTGTTTGTGTAGGTTGGACGTGATTAGCTTGGAAGGTAAAACGAGGCTCTGTGTGTGGGGACAAGCCGGAGCGTACACGAAGACGAGGGGAATTTCCTGGTTGTCTCGGGTTTTTTCTGGCGTTAGGCACACAGCGCGTCTGGCCTGTTCACGGGTGATGGATGTAGTTTTGCATCAGCAAAACAGGCTTGTGTCACTCTTATTTAGTTGTATTGATAGCAGCTTTAAAAAAACACACACACCAAGACCCACCAGATAGTTTTTTAAGTCTATTTTATATCAGCACAAGGCAAGAAAGAATTTATCCTACAGTCTTTGCTTAAGCGGAGACAGCTTTCGAGGGTGGGACCACCTGCACTTCCGCTGTGGCACGGTTGTGCCTGTAGAAAAAAGGTTTTTTTCCTTGTCGAGGGCACGTAGGTCAGCTCCGCTGTTTCCTGATCCTGCTGTTACTCAGCGCCGCAGCTGCTGCTGTGTTGGGGCAGGGCAGGTGAGAGCAGGTGCCTTTGAAACGGCACTGACAAAGGAGGGTCGGGAGCCATGGTCCCTCCCTGCTTTCTTTGCCAGGAGCTCATTACTTCTGGCTGCCATTGGGAATATCGTGTGATTGTTTAGTAGAAAACCTCTAACGATTTTAGCACATGACAAAGTTACTTCTCGTTAATAAAATAACTAAAATTTGCAGAATGTTGGTGCTGCAAATAGTGTTGCTTTAATGTAGTTGCTTCTATTCAAAAGGAGGAAGGTTTGATTTGTATTAAGTTTAAATGCCATTTAACAACTAGTACAAGCTACAAGTCTGCTGAAAAGAAAATCCATTTTTCACGTGCGCAACATTTGTGTATGTTCATGTAAAAACTTGAAGTATATTAATAACATCAAAGATATGTTAAAATGCTGGAAATAACAGGGCACAATTGAAAAACGTAACTCTGCTTATCTCTTCTTTTTTTATTATTATTTTCCTAGCCCATATGGGGCATTTGAAGTGCCAACACAAGTTTTATTCCAATGCTAAAGGTCCCATTATTTCATTTAGAACTTAGTTAGAATCTATGACCAATATTTTGTTACATGGTGAAATCAAGTAGATAATTTCTAACCTAGGTTTTATGAAAGGTTGCAATTTGATATATCAAGCATACAGTTAGGTGGATTAAGCAGCTTCCAAACAGCAACGTTCAGGTGGACAGGGCAATGGAGTCAGAAAGCTTTTGGGAATATGTGAAATATTCTCTTCATCTCCTGACATATGTCAGTTGGTGATATTATTTCTGGTGGGATCACTGTACTTCTGCTTTATTAATCTGTAATAACCCTTGTGTTTCTTATATTGGACCTGGAAGCATCTGGGTGTTCTCACCTCTAAGGTAAAAATTGAGTGCTCATTCCTCCTGATGGGGGATTAGCACCTTGCTGAACCCCTGCTTCTAGCACACAGTGAGGGGGAGGCAATTTCTTCCTACAAGTTGCTCCTGCACAAAGCAGAATAAAGTCTAGCCTAATGTTTGTTAATCCATAATAGTTTGTCTAAGTGCTGTTTAGTGAAAAATACTGTGTGGTTTTGTATGGATAAACCATCTCTGTCACTGCTAATATTTGCTGTTGCAAACTGTTACTGCACAGCTCTGGGAGGGTTTGTCCAGTTTGATGCTGATTTGTATGGTGAATGACAGCTTTGGACAAAATCCAAATCCTACATTAATATTAATTTAAACTGATGTAAGTTAATGGAGAAGAAACAATAATCAGCAGTTAACAACTGTAGTAAGCTCTCCACTCTAGCCATAGGATTTTCATTTCAATGATGTGTCATAGATACTTGACATCACATGTTGTTTAAAGAAAGGGAGTTAATTCTTTGCTGAGTTATACTTACTTTAAGGAAAAAATACAGAAAATTATGGGCTTGAAAGTGCTAAGAAAAAAATTATAAAGGCTCTTTAACAGCTGTTTTATGGGGGTTTTTTTGTAACAGAAAATGAGAGGCTGTCGGAAAAGTTCTGAAAAAATATTCTGACTACTAATTTTAGTTTGAAATAAGCATGTAGCATCACAGTATTTTTATGAAACTGTAACTAAAGGAAGTTAATGACTGTATAACCTGTTCACTTGATGCGTTTACTTACTTCTATTAATTAAATGTACTTTGTATTGTGTGCCCCATTTATTACATTCTGTGTCATATTTGCTGTGACTGCTGGGGATGGGTTATGATAAAGTCAGAGGCAATGAAGATGGGTCCTCATCTAACAGGTGCTCCACTCCCTTTGTTCTTTGTATACACATATTCAAATCACATAAGGCAGGGGACAGGATAGGACCTGTTAACTCATTGCTGATTTCCCTAGCAAATAAACCAGCAGCTGCAGGTCCAAGCCCTGGCTTAGTGCTGAGAAGGTGGCCTTTGTGTGGGACAGGATGCTTTCATGGAGCCCTTTAGCCAGCTTCTTTTGGGACTTACAGTGCAAAATATATTTTCTGCTTGTAGGTAAGATACAGTATGAATTATATTTGATTGTCATTGTGGAAATGTGAATTGGTTCTATAAGATTTATCTTTATAAATTTAAAGGTATTTCTGTTGCATTATTAGATGTTTCATTTCAGGAAGGTAGCCTAAAAGCTTGTCATCAGGTAGTGGCACTTTGTTTTATATGTGAAAATAAAGTTTTAGCAGCTGAACAAAAATGGGTGCTATACATAATCTCTATGTAAAACTTGGAGTTCATTAAATATACATAATCTACATGCAAAACATAGTTATTGATTAAATAAATACTATTACATTTTATTGAGTAACATATACATGGTGCATTCTTTTTAACCAGTAAGGCTGGACAGGTTCTAAATCAAAGATTATACAGAAGCTGTCTAATTTGTTTAAAAATTTGAGACAGCACTGATACATTATTTTTCACTTCTTTATTATTAATTAGTTTATATATAACATCTAAATGTAATTGGTATTGAAACTAAATTAAACTTTTAGTCAGCTGAAGAATATCTCCCCATTAGTACTGCATTTGTTTGGTGTCTGGGTGCAGTTTTTGCAAGTCTGCTTTTTTATCCATGCAATGAATAAAAAATAGATGTTCTATGTACTTTGACAGAAATATCCTGTGATCAAATGTTAGATAAGCTTATTTCTACAAACTACTGTAATTACCTTCTCTATATTTAATTGTTTTTGTGAATGTCAACAGAGGAAATATATAATATTACAAACACAGTGCATCCTCTAATCCTTCATGTATAGAAACAACTTTTCTTTTATCTTCTTTGTGAACCTCGCAGTTCTAGCTTATTATAGAGTCACCTAGTTTCCTTGATTTTGAGCTCAATACTTTTCCAAGACTTTTGGCTTTATAATTATTGATGTTTTATATGTTGATGATTGGATCTCTTCTTTAAAAATGAAAAATATTTGGTTGATAAAAAGCAGTGATTTTGTGCTTTATCTGCTTTACCACTTTATTGGATATTTTTCATTACAATCCTACAAGGGTTATTGTCATGCAAGCAGAGTGCTTAGAGTACAGGTTTATTCACTATGAAGCCTTATACCCTTACCCAGATAAACACATTTTCTAGTAAAGGAGATGTCCTGCCCATACTTCATATCATGATGATAATCAGATACATTGGAGACATGACACAAAGGCCACTGAAGACATTGACTTCAGCAAATAAAATTAAGTCCTGTAACAAAGCTCAGTGGCACTTTTTCTTGGGCAAAAAAAATCCCAATCCAGGGAAGAATATTCCCAAGTTTTCCATTATATAAATGGAAGTATAGAAATTGCAGCTTTCCTGGACCATTACATCTGGGTTGTTTGGGGTTTTTTGTTCCATAAATGATCATACATGTAAAAAAGGAAAAAAAAATTCAGTGATCTAGTGACATTTTGCATCAAGTTCAGGAGAGCTGAAGGGCTAAATGAACAGTCTGGTGAAAAACAGTTGAGAATCCAAACTCACTTTATCAAGGAGATGTGCATGTTAAATTCAGAGAATGCTCAAATCTCGCTAAGCAGGTTTCAGTTTATGCCATAAACTCAAAAGTTATGTCATAGTTTTTTATTTAAACTAAAACTGCAGCCCTTGTTTTATGTCAACAACAATTCTGTTGTGCTTGCTAATACTGGTGATAGCAATGTGAAATGGAAGCAAAGCACAGATCACTGAGCTCCAAATGGAGGTCGTTGTGGTACAGCCCTTACAATCATTATGCAAAAGTTAGGTCTTGGAATTTCATCATCTTGGGAAAAAAGTGTATTATATTTGTGAAGCAGTAGGGATAGGCTTGAATTTTATGGAATTCGGGCCTGAAAAATAGGAATTTAGTTTGACACATTGGCTTGATTTTTCTATTAACTTTAATTCAAGGATTAGTGATAACAGTCTCCAGTTTAAATTAAAAATCAAGATTAGTCTAATAGAAGTGAATCATGGAACCCTTTAGGTTGGGGAAGACCCTAAAGAGCATCAAGTCCAGCCATAAACCTAACACTGCAAATTCCTCCATTAAAGCATGGTCCTGAGTGTCACATCTACACATCTTGGAAGTATCCCCAGGGAGGATGACTCTGCCACTTCCCTGGGTGCCCCATTTTAATGCCTGACAACACTTGATGAAGAGGATAGCCCTCTCAATAAAGAATATTCCAGACTGCAGAAGACATGATCTCTGCTAAGACTAGAATATTTCCATCACTGCTCCTGTAAAACCCTTGCCTTTGACAGAACACTGTTATCTAATAACTTGCCCCAGTCTCAGCCTGCCTTCTCCTTTGCCATACCAGCCATGGGGAAGATCCTATGGAATGTTGGCACTCCACAAAATCACCCCAGCAAAGCCAGAGAGAGCAACAAGAACTGGAGTTATCCAAAGCCACTCCTGAAGGGGGTGAGGGGAAAATGGGGTTTCTGCCCTCACCACCTCTGGTCCCAGCTAAAAGAATTTCCTTAATTGCAGATCAACATGTCTTTCCAAGACACGACACAGAACCAATTTTCCCTGTAAATCGAGTGGAACAAAGTTTATTTGCAGTTTCTATTCCAACAGTTTTTAGCTGCTACTGAAGTTCGTTTTCCAGTCCTGATTCTGTTTTCATTACTCTATTATGCTGTTACCTTCCATAATGGTGGTCCCAGTTATCCTGGTGCTCACAAGACCTGCTTAGTTACACTAAGTTTTTGCACAAACAGATATGTGAGAAATATTATTTGTTTTCCATATTTTGTTTTCCATATTTTATGATTGCACTGCTTCTGTTACTGACATGTTGTCCAACAGCACAATCATCTATTGACAGCTAAATAAACTCAAAAATTGAACAGCATCATACATAAGGAGTGAGTAAGTATATGGACAGATCTTTTAATTGCAGATCTCTGTTTGTTTGAGAGATGTTTGACTTTAGTCCAGTTGATCTAAAAATTTAAATGGGTGGTTATGTAATTAGTAGGTTATATGAAATAGATCTCTAACATTAGATATTTCATTAAGGATTCTGCTGAGGAGTTACTCTCTTTTTCAAGTGGACAACAGCAGTTTAAATCTGATTTGTACTGTAATGTTTTCAGGGAGCATATTAACATCTGAGAAGTGTTAGAATAACCAAAAAAATACTTAATGTCCTGTTAACCCGAGTCTATCAAGCCTTGAAGAGTTGTGTTAGAAAATTGCAAGAATAACAGGATATAAATACTGTTTAAAAGGGGAGCAGGTTTCAATTTGATGTGCGTCATCTGGTTTAGGTTTTTCATCTAGAAAGTTAAGCATGTAAACATCTCTGTACTATGTATCCTCCAATTAAGCCATTCCACATTTTTTCTACACTCTTCCTTTTTTTTTACCCTGTTCTCTTTCTATCTCAGCTGAACCCCAGCCAGTCCTTTGCAAATTAAAGTTCATGCAGCCTGAAGCCCTCTGTCTGCTTCCTCCTTAGCCCCATTAATGGGGGCTTGCCAGACTTTCTGTCAAAGGATTTCACTGTCTTTTTGTATATTTCCCTGTTAGTATTCTGCAATGTTTTCCTTTGGCTTCCCTGCCATGCCCTCAGAAAAGCTGTAAGCTATCTTTAGTTGAGTGTAATATTGCTCAGCTTTATGAAAAGGGAAGCCAGCCACAAAATTACTTTTTTGGGGTAGATTCTGTACCGCACTGCTGGCTACACATGAGCCAGTCCACTCACACCCCAGAGTACCTCTGACATTAATTACTGACCTTACAGCTGCATCTGTAACCACCACTCCCTTTTTGTGTCCCCACCCTCATCCCCAACAAGTTTGCTTTGCCATTACCTCATAGCAAACAACTGTGCACTGAAATTTGATGATTCTAATCCAAAAGACATGTACAGCCACCACATTATGCTACTGAATTGATTTTTTTCTGTCACATAACCTAGGAAATTAGACATAAATGAACCTTTAACCATTTCTATCGTAAAGAATAATGATATGAAAGTAGGACATTTAAGAAACAAAGTTAACTCTGCATTATATTGATGAGCAGAGTCACATCTTTTTCATACATTGCTCCTTCTGCTCTTCCCTACCCACCCAGCTCTTTCCAGGTAGAAATGCATTCCATGTACATCAGCTGGGAAGTTACTTTTTCATTACAGGTATTTGGAAGCCTGTCAAGAACCACAGAATCTCAGGTTTGAGGGACCTCAAGGATCATCAAGTCCAACCAGAAATGGTCATTAGCAGGAAAAGGATAGATGGTTCATGGTGAAAGCGTTGTGTGTTATCCAGGGCAGTGCATTCTCAGGCAGTGTTATCCAGTCCAGTGTGTTCTTATGCAGTAGCAGATGGATTACTTACATCACAGTTTTTACATTTCTTACTTATAAGAGGTTGCTTTTTTCTTAGGTTTTTTTTTACCACATGCAGTGTACTTTTTAGCAGTATTGAACACAAATCTGAGCAATCAAACCTGCAGCTAGAGTCAATTGGAGTTGCATCTTTAACATACCAAAATATTTTTATATGTATTTTGAAAAATCGTATCCTTTATATTTCAAATTGATCATCCAAAATGTGTCTGTATTTTTGCTGTTAATTTTCTCTGGGCTTAAATTCTTCATCTCTAAAGTCCTATCAGTAAAAATGGTGTTGTGAGATCAGTTCATTAATGTTAATTCTTTACATCATTGCTGTTCTCATGAGTGCCATGGAAAAGTTAATGTGAAAATCAGTCACTTAGTTCCAAGACTAAAGCTTTAACAGTGTTAATCACTTAGTTCCAAGACAAAAGCTTTAATAGTGTTCTATAAATATGTCTTAGGCCAGCACAAGCAAAAATTATTTTTAAAAATGTATGAGAAAGACAGTGATTAACCAAGGAGTGGCCTTTTTGCATTGTAATGGAGACAGAATTCTTGGAAAACAGAATTAATCATGTGGCTGAAAATTTCACTTTTGTGCATATCAACAGCAAGGCTTAATTCTGGCAATCTCCTAAGACTGGAATTAAACAAAGTTTAATTTAAATACTTGAATTTTGCAAGCTTTGTAATGTTTCTTGAATTTAGTCTTACAGGTACAGAGCAGTCAGCAATAACAATTATATATAGTTTTAGTCAGAATTCATGATAGTGCTTGTCAGATTTTTAGTCAATTTCTTAGTATAACTGGCAGAGTACCTAAGAAGTCCTCTGCAGCTGAACAGCCCAGAAAAAATCCTAAAAACTGAGTTTACAATCCAAGACTCTTAGACAGTGTAAGACATAGAAATGCAAAATATTTTAAAGGGCAGATATTTTATACATTAAGGTAAATGTACATTATCTCATTTTTGTCAAACTTTCAATAGTAAAAGATTCTTCCTTTGGCTTTTTTTGTATAACATGAGGCTAGAGCTCTGTAGTTAGATGCAGCACCAAGGTAAATGAGCTCTTGCCCCTTTTGTACTCAAAATCTGAGTTATAACCATGCAAAAAAAATGTAAGTTTTAGCCTTGAGAGTTTTTTCACTCTATGAATTTCTCATTTGAGTTTTCTGGGGTTTGCATTTGTGTTTTTGGTTTGTTTATTTATTTGCTCTTTCATTTTTATGCAGGGATTTGTTCTGCCTTAAAGTTGACAGTACCATCTCATACCATCCATGGTATTGAGGGGCAACCACTTCATCTTTCTGTTGACTACAATTTCAGTGCTACAGCTTCTGAAGTCCAGATAATTTGGCTTTTTGAGAGGTCTCAAAGTAATCCAAAATACTTGCTTGGCTCTGTAAATCAAAGAGTAGTTCCAGACTTGGAATACCAGGACAAGTTTACCCTTATGCCACCGAATGCATCTTTGAGGATTAACCCATTGCATCTCAGTGATGAGGGCAATTACATTGTAAAAGTCAATGTCCGTGGAAATGGGACCATAGCTGCAAGTCAAAAGATTCAAGTAGCTGTTGATGGTAAGTTAGTAAAAGATAGTATCTTCATTTTGAAAATAAAATTACAATAGTTTTGAAGTCCTGGTTCTTAGTATCCCATTAGGATGGTGTCTCATTTAATGCAACCAATACATGAATAAATGCAAACACTAAGTTATGTTTTTTTCTACTGCTGCTGGAGGGAATACTAAAATATGTCATCTTTAATGAAAATTAATATATTGATTGGTGTTTCTATATCATAAATAAAATACTGAAGAGGCACAGAAACATTTGGCATTATATTAGACATTAGACAAACAATAAGATTTCATAAGTTTCTGCTGTGCTATCATGAGGATGCATTGAATTTCAAATAGTCTTTTTCCCTGAACAATTTTACCTCCTGTAGCAAAGAGGAGCCATTTAACTCCCAAGCCCATCCCAATCTGCAGACATCCTCATGACAGGTTGCCCAGATTTCAGTGGTGCCCAGTGTGGGCAAAGCTGTGGGCAGTCATGCTGAGGTCACACACGGTGGGCAGTGTCATGCTTTGTGCACTTTTCTTTTCTGTGTTTTGTATACGAGGCAAGAGGCCATGGTACACATGACTGCTGCCTTTATCCTAATACCAGTAGTATAAGCAGTCTGGTTTTATTTATGTCCCATAACAATTCTTACAGTCACCAGCTGAGAATATGGCCTTCTTTTTTAACCTTTAAGTGCATTTAAGAGAAAAAATTTGAAATATTAGTAGTTTCCAGAAAGAGTGATGATTTGAATCATCTTGACCATGATGACTGTAATAGAATGGCTTGTCACTTTAATGTCACTTTAACAACTCTTCATTTCTCTTTATTTTACAGTTCCAGTCACAAAGCCAACTGTACATACTGAACCATCTTCAGGAGTAGTGGAGTATGTAGGGAATATTACCCTAAAATGTACTGTGAATAGAGGTACAAGGATAGCTTACCAGTGGATGAAAAACGGGAAGCGTCTTCATGCTAGCCCTAATTATATCTTTTCATCAAACAATGCTACACTACTAATTGTTCCTGCAGTAAAAGAAGACATTGGGAATTACAGCTGTCTGGTATCAAACCCTGTCAGTGCAATGGAAAGTGAGATAATTGTGCCAACCATATATTGTGAGTATATGAAATATTCATTATTATCTTTGTATTAATTATTTTGCTGGAAGGAGTGCCTCCAAATATGAAAACAGGCAGAAAACAGTGGAGTCAACATTGTATGTGAGCTTGCATTAAAAATGAGCTTGTTTGTAATAGCTCTAACTTAGGATAATAAAATTATACAGTGTTGTGTAGTTGTGAAGAGCAGTCTCAACTGCAGAATTCAAATAGAAACTTCAAAATCTCCACAGATATCCTCAGATGTGACTCAAAGGAAAGATAATGAGATCATTATACATGAAAATGTTGTTATATGTGAAGACAAAAATAGTATCAAAAAGCTAAGCACAGGAAGTACCAGGTTGAAGAACTGGTATTAGTGGGTTCCCTCAAGATCATTTGAAGTCCAGTTCTTTTTAATACTTCCATTAATGACACCAGAAAAAAGACAGGGAGTATCTCAATGGAGTTCATTCATGACATTAAACAGGAGGACTGAATGACTTTGACAGAGTAACAGAGCTGGGATGAGATCTGCCAGTTAAAAAAATAAATGGGCATGCCCTTTCAGAGAATAAAAAACATGAACTTCTGCTGATAGGATTGAGATTTATTAGAAAATAATCAAGGCAGTGACCCTAGGATGGTTGAGCTATCACATGATATCTATGAACTGACAGCATGATTCAGGCATTAGAAAGACATATTTAATTCTAGGGGAGTGGGAAATTAATTTCCAACAAGGAAACAAGGAGAATGCTAATGGCACACTGAAGATAACACCACATGTGCAATAATTCATGCAGTCCCTGCAGATCCCAGAATGCTGATCTTGAACTGGAAGGAAAGAAAGAAAGAAAGACAGGAATGAAGAAGAGACACAGAGACCTCAGTCAGGCTTAGCAAAATTAGAGCTGAAAGTTATTGCATTCCACATCAAATGGGAAACATGAGGGAGCAAGAAGAATTGCATAAAGACCATTTTTGACAGAAGAATAAAGCATAAGGTAACCAGGTATTTTGACTGGAAATTAAAGCACCTGAGAAACTGATTGAGTTGGAGGAAACAAAAGATTGATTTAATCACCATTCAACAATTATACGATAAATCTTAGAGCCTTCTCATTTTGGTCCATGTCAGGAATTCCCAGTGCCTCCTCAGTTTTCAAGTAGCACATGCTACACATATGTCACCTGCTATGCTCTAATCCTCATGTTCTCAGGGGTCTAATTAGCCTTCTCAGAGGAAAGCTGAAATTTGAAAGGCCAGGACCTACTTTGCCACCAGTCCTGTTCAGATATAGCCAGTTTACCCAGTGGCCTGATCTGGAAGGGGCACTGCAAGGACTGAGACGGAATTCCTGTCCAGCCAAGGGCTGGTGCTCATTCCTGCTTTCCCTAGGCTCTGGCAGCTGGTAGGCAGCCCATGCTCAACTTGTTATGATTGCACTACCAACATATTCAGAACCTACATCTCTTGTGTCTCTACCTTTTATATTTTCCTCCTCCATCATCTCCTTTCATTTCTGATTGACTATTCTGCTAGTTGTTCAGAGATTTTTATTATAACTTGGAAGAATTCATTGGATAAGGGGATGACTTGCATCTAAAATATTGGGGGAGTGGGGTCTCTACACTGCAGCAGGAGAAGAGAAAAAGACTGCCTAAACTAGCAAAGATTAATAAGGACATTGTTAGATATAAGCTGATATAAGCTTATGTGTAGCTTATAAAATTGACAGCAGTGCAGACTTGAAGAGGAAGAAGCAGTTGCAGAGTTCTAAACAGGGCCAATATTAATTGAGCTTCCATCTCATTAGACAGAGGAATCATGATAAACAAGGAAATAACCAGTACTGATAGACCTTTAACTTATCATTACTGTAATTTAAAAAAAAAAAAAAAATCAATCACATTCTTTTCTCAAGGTAGCACATTTTTATATGCCTGTCACAATCTCAGCTCACTTATGTGCTTAAAGTGCTAAGAATGAGACCTGAAGGTGTATGAATGCAGCTCCTCTACTGCGTTTCTCACTTTAATGAGCTGTGAATTGGCCTTGTACAAGTTTGTCTTCAACAAAGAATACCTACAGAACTTGGGACACTGTATCCAGCCTGACAGTCCCTTCCCATGCAGTGAAGTCGGGTCAGGCTAGAAAAACATCTGCCACCCTTGCTACCTTTCAGACATCTCTGTTTGTTGCACAGCCCGTGTGAGGTTTGAATTTCTGACCTGTTACACATGGGATTGTTTCCAAAGCACTAACGGCACTCACAGCTGTCTGGGACACTTGCTCTGACAACGTGTGTGCCCTTCAATCCCAGCTCTGGTACTGCTTCCCTGCTTCTTCCTCACTCAACTACATGCATTTTTCAGTAAATTTGAAAAATCTTTCTAAGTTCTAAACTAGAAACCTGTTTTTGACCAACTGTTTGCCAGAAATTTAAAATCTCAAAGTTACTTAAGTGACTTTTCTTGAATCTTTTGCTGTTTAAATGGTTGTGATATACAGCTTTATCAAAAATTGAGATTCACTTTTTCTCCATGTGTGTAAATATTATTTTATATGCATTTTATGAATGTCCTTCATCAGAACTGAGGGTTTGGTTTGTGTATAATATAAAATCTGAAATAAGGTGAGCAAACAACAAATGCTGAAAGACTGCAAATACCTGTGGTATTCTCTATATCCAAGTCAGTGATGGGGGTTAGGGTCTTACTTCCTGAGCTATATGAAGTCACCTAGTTTGGTTCAGCCTCTGCCTGCACAAATACTTTGTCTCCTAGCTCCCAGTTGTCAATAACAATCCAGACCAGGCCCTGAGATCTCTCTCTGCCATATGTCATTGCTGTGGGGGAGTTACTGGAGGTGATAAAGAAAAGGTTGCTCACGGTAAATACCTGCCATCTGCTTGGAAACTGTAACAGTCTCGTAGTGATGGGAGCAATTGGAAATATTCCCATGGAGCAGTAAATTGTTACTCAGAAAGATTGATTTATTATTTTACACGTCATTTAGTTAACTGGTTTTACTGAGACAAGAGGCAGTCTTCTGTAGAGAACAATACTGGAAAGGGAAAATAGAGCTGAGGGACCCATGCAGGCTATCATTGTGGGTTGTTACTGAGTATAAAAGTGGTTTTTAATTCATGTCTTATTAATATTATCCTGCTTCTCCATTAGTTATGATGATAAGGCAGCCTGGAACATGGCTATTGCAGTCACGTGACTCAGAAACAAATTATTTCAAGAAGCTGCTGTCCTGTAGGCTGCAGCAGACACTGTTGTACTGTGTTGATGGAGTTGAACTCAGCAGACTAAGTGGGATTTTCTTCCTCAAGTCTTCCAAAAGATAGAATATACTTAGTTCTAGTGAGAAAATGGTTAATTGGCTGCTTTTCAGAATCACCCTTGAAGCTGTGTATAACTGTCAGTTACCCATTGTTTAGGGACCTTGATGTACACTGTGCCCAGGAGAGGCAAAATACTGCTCCAGGCAAAGCAGAAGGGTTACCCAATCCTTGTGTTGACTTCAGCAGGAGTGCCGCTTTTCCAATTTTGCCAAGATTTGGCTATTTCTTAAGATAAGCCCTCTGGTTTTATGCAACTTACTTCCCCAGCCAGTGTGTGTCAGTGTTCGTATAATGATTTCTTTCAACTTGCAGCTTCCATTAAAATATAGTTCTCAGTGTTATCTCTTTATGCTGCACAGTTCTGATACTGATAGAAAAGCAGAACTCAGTTCAAATTCTTTTGCAGACTGTGGCAAACCACCCACTACAGTAAGGAGAGCATGGAAACCAGTCAGCTATTCTTACCAATAATTTCTGTTAACACATATCAAAGTCATATTACCTGCGAAAATAAAAGCTAATTCTCCTAAGAAGGAAGAATTGGATTGGAAGAACCACTGAATTGCTCGGAAAAGTGAAAAAAAGTAGGTTCCTGCATATACATAGTTTGTAAGGGACTTTAATTAATTTAGGAAAAATGTCAAAGGCCAGTACATCCCTTCTCCTTTCAGATCTGAAAAAAAGGGAAGTAAATACCTATAAGAGGTGAACCCCTGTGAAAAGGTCCCCTTTCACAGAAACATGCAGCCCGAGTGAGGCTAGCCAAGCCAAAACAGTGGGGTATAGGTCTGTACTCACACAAATCATCATTACGGGGTCAGCTGGCTCTGGGAGACAATAAAGCAAGTGACTCAGGAACTGCAAAGCCTGTGGGGAAGTAGCCCAGCATCTAGAACTTAAAGAAAAGCCATGCTTCTTCAGAGTGGCTGCTGCAATGTAGGTGGGAGCAGCAGTAATTCATGCTGAAGTGAATTTGTATTGCATTTCTCAAGAAAATATTATGCATGATGTTGGCCATTCCTTAAAATGAGACTGCAAAAAGCTTACCACTAGGAAATAAGCAGAGAAAATTTAAAGATTGACAAGTTTAAGTTGTGAAGTATGGACATTTACTTAAAAATGGACTAAACTGAGGTCATATGTGGTGGTCTATAGTCTCTTGTCTAAGCCTGAACAAACAGAAAAAAACACAGAGGCACACAAAAAATGGCCTGGTTTGTGCTGTGTGCTGGTGGCTTAGGTGTTCTTGAAGAATAAATGAGTCTCATTAAAAAAGGCAAACAGTAAATAGAAGTGTGTATTAGAGAATGTTGTAACATGGTCCTGAATTTCCTCGTGGGAAATAAAGTCTGAAATATACAAGTGTGCAGCTTCTTGTAGCAGAGATTTTCCCATTCAAACCCAGCTACATTGTCTTAATTCTTCCAGACAACCACAGGAAGGTGGAAATATTGTTAGATTCCACTGTCTGGAGTGGGCACAGCACTGTGCCTGTTTTGTGCTACACCATTTTGTATGAGGCAGCTTTACTCATCTTCAGGGATCCTACCAAAAGGATACTCTGCATATTTTCTTCTTTTGCTCTGTGATATTAGGTCTGTGCATTTTTGATTATTCATGCAAGTCCTCAGGGAATTAACAACATTAAAATGATTAGGAGTTTTTGTTTTGTTTTGTTTTTAAGTAGGAAAGGTATTTAATAAGGCACACTTCAATTATTATATTCTCTATGTAAATTTCTATACTTAAATACCTGTAAAAATAATTTTAACATGTAAAGATATAAAAGCCCCAATTATCTGAAATGTTCTATAAAAACAACATGAGAAATATTCTTATAATATTTAAGTATATTGTTTCCCTTCTCATTTTCCTATGCAGGTTGCACTAAAAATACTTATCTGCTCAATTTTTTGAGTAATGAACACATGATTATAGAACAACATATGCTTCTTCTAATTATATTCAGAAAAACAACTTTCAGGACAAGAACTTGCTCTTGAAAAAAGCATAATTACAGTAGTAATTATTTAACTATTTTAAATTTTTAATAATTTAAAGTATTATTTAGTAATACAAATCCACTAAAATAGGGGAAAAGTTAAAATTTATTCTAGCAGTAATTTATGGAAAATTTTTTCTGAATTTGTCTAAGGCACACCCCACTAAATATGATACCTGTAAGTTAGTTCCCTGAATGATTTTTATATTGTAAATTATTGCAGTGAAGATAACATTGTGAGGCCAATTTGTTCACTTTTAAATTTGTAGGGAAATTACTTATGCCGGTAAGTTTGGCATTGAAGTAGAAATCAAGTATGCTCCTGAAGAAGACATGCTCCTTTACTTCATAAAAATCCAACTGATATCAGTTTTCATTCTTTTTATCATAATGAAAAATACCTAGATCCATGCTTTTTCCTGAAACAGCAATTAGACCAGTATTAAGTGGGTGTAGCCTGAGCTAAGCCTAGCACAGATCCAGGTATTGAACTGAAAGCCTTTTCATTGAAATGACTGACGGCCAGCCATTCTAAATATTCTAATTTTAGAGATACACTTCTGATTAATTTTAATTATCTACTTTGATTTTAATTTTCTCACTGTATTTCCCTTTTTTTCCCAATGCAGATGGACCTTATGGACTTAGAGTCAAATCAGACAAAGGTCTGAACATAGGGGCAGTGTTTACAGTGGACATGGGGGAAGTTGTACTGTTTGACTGCTCAGCAGATTCAAATCCACCAAATACTTATTCATGGATTCAAAGGGATGACAATAACACTCAAGTAATCAAATATGGACCCCATCTGGAAGTTGTATCTGATAATGTGGCTCAGAAGACAATGGATTACATGTGCTGTGCTTTCAACAACGTGACTGGAAAACGAGATGAAACTCACTTCACAGTTGTTGTTATGTCTGTAGGTAAGAATGTAACTTTATTGCTGTAAAGCGTAACGTCTGCATGGATGCCCCAGAAAAAGGAAGTCATTCTTAGAAAATGTATTGAAATTTAGGTTTTGCTAAGAATATAGTAAAGGGGCTTTTGGACATTCTGTGGGATACAGGTTTTACTTGCTGTATGGCACAGCTTGGAACACAACCCACCAAGACACTGAAGTTTTGTGGGATTTTATTACAATGTTCATGTAAATTGTTTCCTTGTCATATTTATGAATGTCTGTATTGATTGCTGCGTTCTGAAGAACACATACCTTCATTGCTCCTACAGTATAACCTCAGCTCCTGTACTCAGCTCCTGTATGATTGTGTTCAATAGCAACAAAGCAGTTTTTCAGAAAATCTCCAGAAGCACAGAGCAAAGAACGGGATATCAAGGAAGTCTGATGTCTCTTCTCAATACAGACAGATACAAGTATTTCTAGATAAGGAATATATGCCATAAATGTTCAACAAGAATTACTAGATTGCCTGATAGAAAATTTAACAAGGCAATTTCACATGGGCTGAGCAAAGAGCTAACAAATTTGTTAGTCTGATAAACAAGAAGATATGTCCATGATTCAGGCTACTTACTGATTCATCATGAATCCAGGGCTTTTTCAGTATGCTGGGAAAAATATGGGTTGCAATTTCATAGTAAGAATAGTGCACTCAAAAACTAAATATTGTGGTTACTAGTGAAAGAAAATGCTACCAGAACTATGTGTTTATAGAAATAAACATGACATTTCTCCAGGAAGTTCATGTAAGATATGATATTCAGCTGGGATTTCCTTTCAAAGGCCAAAAAGGAGGGAAGACTCCACAGCTTCATGGTTGGTTGCACTTAAAATAATAGATTTCCTAATTACAAATATTTTACTTACATCTTATTAAAACATTTTATCCTGTGTATTTAAAAATAGAATAATATATTTTCCCCCCTCTGGAGCCATTTTCTTTTTGATGAGTGTTTATTCAAATAGCACTAAATGGAGATGTCAAGGCTACGCTTTGCAGAGCAGCACTGACTGATTCTAAGAGGTATGAATTCACACACAATTCATTCTCAGCGATGCTGCTTAGGCTAAATTCTCACTGCAGGTGAATAAACATACTAAGAAAAGACTATGAAAATTGTACATATTCCTTTTCCTTACACCCCCTAATCCTTGTTACAGAGGCTGGACTATGGCATTCAAAATAGTGAAAACCCCATTTTCAGTAGCAACAGGAACTCTGATGTTTCAGAAGACCTTACACAACTTCCCTATGGGACAGAAACTCACCTATATGGTGCTAAAGACAGCTGCCTAATGAATCCTAAAAATTATCTAGAAAACAGTTATTTTAATAAGTTACAATTATATCAATAGTTGTACTAAGTTGTTGCCATTTTCAGCCAAGATTCTAAAATAAGATGAGGTACTCATGTACACCAGTCATTGCTCAGTTTTCAAGGTTAGTCAGCTTGAGTGTGTTAAATGCATGCAAAAAGCATGTCTGTTTTCTGCACTGATGCATCTACGGAGATGTGATTTATTGAGTCTACATTTGAAATTACTCACTTTAAGGAACAATTTTAAGGACTCATCTGATTCTTCAGCATTTGGACTTTTTCTTCCTAAGGAGAGCAGTACACCGAAGGACTATTAAAAATTTTGTGAAGTTGCAGTGATTTATTTTCCTGTATCTTTAGGACATATCTGTCTAGAAATCCTCATATTTAATCTTCATGAAAACCACTGCACATGTAGCCAGCACAATGCCAGTGAATTACATGAAGGTGTAAGTAGATATAAGCAGCCCTCTGCACAGGAGTTCATTGATTACTGGAAACACATCCAGCTAAATAATACACATTTTAATTGTACTAGTAAATCTGGCACTAGCAAATATGCAACATTAATTTACCTGTATGGATTGTGACTTATCCTTTAATGACATTAATTCTGCACAATTCAGAGCAAAAGGAGGAAAGAGTGCACAAGTAAATATGTCTGGCATTTCCTAACTTTCACATTCTTGTCTTTGCAAAATCATTGCAAACATTTTCCATGTGCTTCTAGGTATGTAATTATATGCAATTTGTGTATGTGTTGTATCAGAAAATCCTGCTGGAAAAGTTCTGCTAATGCATATCCCAGCAAAAGACTTGAACAAAGGAAAGAAATATTTTGAATATATTTAGATATGAATACAAACAACGTGGTGGGGTTCCATCCTTGGAGGTGTTTAAGGAAAGACTGGACATAGAACTTTTTGATCCATGCCATGTTGATCTTTGGTCACAGGTTATACTTAATGGTCTTAGAGGTCTTTTCCAGCCTAACTGACTTTGTGATTCTGTGAAGATGTATTGGTTTCAGATGTGGTTTGATAAATAACCAGACTGTCAGTGATCTAAAAATCTTTACAAAAAGTCGAATGGATCTTTTATCTTCTCCTGCTTTATAGCTCCCAACTACTAGGAGGATTTCCCTCCAATCGAGCACAAGTTGCTCTCTCACCCTCCTTTTTGGTTGTTCAGTGTCTCTATACCACAAGTTATAATATGCATTTTCTTTTTTTGATGCTGTAATTTGTGGCTTACATTTACTGACTTCCATTTAGCTCCAGGCACTAATCTGCTTTGGAGTCTTTTCTGATATGCATATCATTGCTTTTTCAGTTCAGGAGATCTGTGGGGAAAAATAAATGTTACCCATTCAGAAGACCCAAATTTTGCACCTGTTTTGTATCTCTGTGCAGGTTTACTAGTTTCAGAATAATTTTTAAAGATGCATTTCTCAGTGTCATTGTAGCACATTGTAAAGAACAAGGAACTAAATACAGTACTCATCTTCTTTGTCACAGGGTTGGAAAAGCTGGCCCAGAAAGGAAAGTCTTTGTCTTCTCTTGCAGTAATAACAGGAATCTCATTATTTTTGATCCTAGCTATGGCCTTTTTATTCCTATGGAAAAGATATCAGCCACATAAAGGTATGTAAAAGTTAAACACAGTCCAGCTCTTCTTTTGGACCCTTGGAGCAAAAAGAATAATTTTTTTTTTCTTCTTTTCAGTGATACAACAGAAGCTACAGAGCAGGTAGAAAAACAATTCATCTTACATCTAAAAGTACTTTCCATCCAGAGAATTGCATTTTATCATATTGATTTTCTTTCCTTGGCTTATGACGTCAAACTGAGAAACATGTTTATGTTTTCTAGGGCAGAGACTGATTACAGAAAGGCACAGGCATTTTCAGGTAATGCTAATGAAGTAAGTGTGAGCATAAGGTCAAAGTCCATTCCTGAAAAAGAAAAATAACATCACAAAATACAGGAAAAAAAAAATAAAAGGAAAAGAATAAAAGTGTGGTTTTATGTTGGGTTGCACACCTCTATGATAGCTTAATTAAGGTTAGACCTAAATGATAAGTCAGTCTGGGTTTAGCTCATGCCTGGAGCTCATAGCAGTATGTGTTGTTGTCTTGAATTCTGCCTATTATCCCAGTATTCTGCGATTGGAATACCTGCATTCCGCTGTTGTCACCAATATGACTTAAATCAGTGTTATTGTGGGATAGCAGTAAGAGGTGATACACCGTGGGAGGTTTACAGCTGAAAATGTTCATGGCATCAGTTGTTATCAAAATCATGAGTTAATGACATTGCAGTATACATATATAACCTTCTGTCATATTCTGTACTGCCTTTCTCTGTGTTATCAGGACCCAGAGTGGGTTTTTTTACTGCCTCTTTTCCCTCCACAATACTTCCCACCTGATCCTATGCAGGAGATGATAGAGACCAGCCATCCTTTGGAAGGATATCACTTTTATTCCCATTCCTTTCTGCCAAAGTATCAGAGCAGGCCATAAACTGCTACATGCACAAGTAGAGGGAAGTATATGAAGCTTAGGAAGGTAGGACATTCACCTGAGCACAGAGGGTCCATCAAAGTCATATCAAAGGATAGAAATTCATCATTGTTTTTAGTGCTACAGCCTTTGATGTGGAATGGTGCCCAGGAGACAACCAAGAGCCTCACATCTCCTGGACAGTGGGAGGGTAGACTAACTACACCTAAATACAAGCTGTATCTGAAGTCCCGAATAATAATGTGCATCTATAGGTACCATGTTCCCTTTTATTTTTCTCAGAATTGTAACAAAATCATGAGTTAATGACATTGCAGTATACATATATAACCTTCTGTCATATTCTGTACTGCCTTTCTCTGTGTTATCAGGACCCAGAGTGGGTTTTTTTACTGCCTCTTTTCCCTCCACAATACTTCCCACCTGATCCTATGCAGGAGATGATAGAGACCAGCCATCCTTTGGAAGGATATCACTTTTATTCCCATTCCTTTCTGCCAAAGTATCAGAGCAGGCCATAAACTGCTACATGCACAAGTAGAGGGAAGTATATGAAGCTTAGGAAGGTAGGACATTCACCTGAGCACAGAGGGTCCATCAAAGTCATATCAAAGGATAGAAATTCATCATTGTTTTTAGTGCTACAGCCTTTGATGTGGAATGGTGCCCAGGAGACAACCAAGAGCCTCACATCTCCTGGGCAGTGGGAGGGTAGACTAACTACACCTAAATACAAGCTGTATCTGAAGTCCCGAATAATAATGTGCATCTATAGGTACCATGTTCCCTTTTATTTTTCTCAGAATTGTAAAACATTCAGGTGATACTGCTTCACTACACTGTGGATGTGCTGAGTTTATTTATTCAGCCTTTTTTTTCTATGGGAAATGAAAGCAAATTGGTCATTTTAGCCTTCCAGAATAGAGAGTATGAATGTCTCTATCAAAATTGTTGCTGAGGTTAGCAAGAGACTTCTCTCTTGGTACAAGGTGTGGGAAGTCACTGAGTACCATGCACACCAGCTCTGCAGCTGTCCTGCCTCGCTCCACACCAGTTTAGGAGCTCAGCAGGGAAGTGGTCTAAAGCAGGTCACACAAGCACTATTCAGGTGTTTTAAAAATCAAGGCAAAATACTTTGCCAGTCATTATTTTCCAGGTTCATATTACATCTCTTTTTTAAAATCTTTGTTCTAACTTTAGGACATGAAAGTGCTTTGGATGATTTTGGGATATATGAGTTCATCACTTTTCCAGATCTTACCAGTGGCTCTAGGGTATGTGACTTTATATCATAAACAGACCGTTTCTCTTCCATTTCTCTAGGTATACTAAATAACTGTACCAGAATCCTTCTGTAGGTTTGCTTCTGTTGCTTTTTACGGATGTGTGCATGACATCATATTCATGGCTATTGTTCACCCAATACTTGCTCTTTCTTTCCTGTGTTACTAGTTCAGTACTTCATAATCAACATAGTGAAGTAAGGAATAACCAAGCTCTAAAGACAACAATCTCCATTCAACTACTCTATATTAAAAGAATATTAGTAATGTCGGGTAGTTGAGCAGCACTGAGCCACTTGTGTAACACAGGCAAGTGTACTATTGTGATGCCATTTTCTCCCTTGATCCTAATATTTCTGCTCATCAACATTCAGCCCTGGCAGTGCAGAAAAGTCTCAGGGAGTTATTTAAAGTGTAAATGTAAGGTAAGTCTCAGCTGTATTTCACAAAAATTATTTGGTTGGTTTTGTGTATTGTAGGGTAGGAGTTAAGCATTGGAATTTTGCTAGCAGAAAAGAAATCTTGCAACATTTGCGGTTTCCTTGCATTGTGTCTTTGCTGACATTACTGCATAGCAGCTGGAGACCATTCTGATATGATGTAAAAGGACAGAAAAAAAGATCAGAGACAGGGCCACAAAATTTAGGGACAATGGTAAAACTGGGAGGAAAGAGAATAGAGACTTTGCTAGGGAAAATTGCCAGCAATGTAATCTTGTAACTTTGGAGAGCATCAGTCTGGTCAGGTAAAGGAGAGCTCTTAAAGCATGGTCACAGGGTCACATTGTCATAACCTAATTTGTTCTTATGATTAGTACTCATAATACATGATGTCAAAAAATAGTCATAGATTAATTTGTCTTCTCTGATGGAGTTAGATGTTTGAAATATACATTTATAGTGCTAAAGTGCTACTGCAAATGTTAGTGGAGAGGACAGACTTTTACAGCAGCAGAGATAAAAGACTTTTAGAAAACAGAGCAGCTGAACTGCTTCTTTTACAGTTTGTGCCAGTAAGAGGCTTATTAAGTTTAAAGATCAGACCCTAGATCATTACAGCCTTAAGCATACTGTGATATTATACTAAAGAGGGTATATTTCGATTAAATAAATTCTTTACTTGTGAGGATGGTGAGGCAAGTGAAAGTTGCCTCAGTTGCAGATGCCCCATCACTGGAAGTGTTCAGAGTCAGACTGGACTGTGAGCAACGTGGTCTAGTGAAAGATGTCCCTGACTATGGCAGAGGGGTTGGAACTGGATGATCTTTAGGGACTTCCAACACAGACCTTCTATATCCCTTAAGCTGATCATATCACAATCTTGCAGGATTAGGGCCTTAGTAAGTCAGGAGGGAGAAAGCAGTGACAAGAATGACAGGATGGATGTACAAGCAATGAAATCTACTATAATTTCCAGTAAATTTTCAAGGAGCAGGAGAAACTCCACTCATTTATGTTCAGCTACTCAAATGTGTAGCATTGCAGGTAAAGTCAGCATTTGATCCACTGATTCATTGTAGTCAGCAGAGAAAGGGGAAAATAAGAAAGTGTAAATAATGAAGAGTTGGAGGTTGCATATAGGCAGAAAGACTGGTAATTCCTTATGGATGTAGAGTCTAGGTAAATCTGTTGTCATAACATAAGAGGAAACTAATATACTTAATGTGCTGAACAATCAATATTACTTGATTTACAAAAATTCCATGCATGTCTCTCTCTTTGACAGGCTGGGGGGGAATTTTATGCTGATCTCATGGCCTGAATATTTACTGCTTTTTTACTGTCTGTTCTCCTGCTTTTCTCTTTATTAAATGTTTCTTTCTTGACTTGTGGTACCTTAATATAAAGTATTTGCTGTATTAAATGCAATAGCTGCATCCTAAATCTTTTAAGGGGCTAAATGAATTTAAAACTAATACTTGCCTTACTATTAATGTGACAAGAACGTACTCGAAATCTAAACTAGCAGAGATTACCCATTCAATCCACAAACAAAGCTTTGACAAAAAGTTTTAAAAACAACAAGTTACATGAACAGTTTAATTTCTCTTGAATTTTTCATATTTGTACTTACAGTAGGAATACACTTTGTTGGTTTTAGGTTTCAAGTCAATCTGTACCTGGCCCTGACTTTGTCGCAGGCCAGGATATGCTAAGTACGGTTTATGAAGTTATTCAGCACATTCCTGAGCAACCAGAGCAAGACTACCAACAGTAAGTTACAGACTGTGTTCACTCATGTGGTAGCTTGAAGACAAATACTTTTCATCCAGAGCAATTTACATTTTTTTATTCCACTGAGAGGATTATGGAATGAAAGATAAAAGCTACCTTAATTCCTCCACCATTTCCTATCCAATCCCCCCCTTTTCCTCAAGGCTCCAGTCTGTAGTTTCATTACACCAGTTTTGTTAAAGTGTAAAAAACAAAAGGTGAAATCTTCAAATACAGCTTCAAATTAAAATTCCCACTTAATTTAATAGGGCACTGAAACATTAGCACTTCCTACTGAATAGGTTAAATATTCAATCAAAGCAGTTTAATTGGTAGCACGGCCTCCAGACCACTCAGCCATGTGTCAAGTAGAGTTAGAGTGGGGGTTTTTACAATGTTGAAACTGGTCAGCTGAATAATAATCAGTGGTTGTTAAAATAGTCACTGAAATACTAACAGACTACTACTTAAGTAAGCAGTGTCTCTATAGCAAACGAGTTCTTGTTGTGTGGTACCCTGGCTGGGAGCTCCACAGAAACACTTTTGCTGAGTTCAATACCAGGAAGGTCACAGCACTTTGTGCTTATGTCTCGTAGACCTGGTTTTGTTCAAATCACCTCCTGTATCTCACTTCCTAGCATAAGGGTGAATACACTAAATTTTTTGTAATTGTTGCATAGCTGCCAAAAATCTATTGTGAATGTAGTCTTTCTTACAAATTAAAAACAGTGCACAAGACTTTATTTGGTAACAAGTCTATTATATCTCATTTTCCATGGTTTTTTAATGTGTTTGGTTTCTTATATATTTGAAAAGAAAAATACACATTCTTAACAATATGCTAACCAGTTGGCTGACAATGTTTATGTGACTGCATTAGCATGCAGTACTTACAGTACAAAAAATGTCGTTATATCTTAATTTATGTCTTCAACTGTGTGTCCAAGTTATGTATGTAAGTATGCAGCCATGCTTGTCAAAACAAGCTGGTCAGTGAGAAAGCAAAACTGAATTGCTAATGATGTTTTTGTTCTGCTTAGAATTTTTCACTTTGAACCCTAAGATTTTTAAAGCCAGATGTAAAAAAATACCATTCATAAACTACATATTTTCTTACTCTTTCTCTTACATGTCTTCCTTCTCAACTTTCTCACTGATACATGACCCCTCTGAAAAAAGAAATAAAGACAACAAAAAGGTAACTTGAACTCTGTGACAGTTCAGATTTCAACTTAAACTTTGCAAAACATATTCTGTAGTTGTAAAGGACTCTTTTGCATAAACCAATTCTGCTGCTCTTTTCATATTTTATATTTTAAAAAGGAAACAGGAAAAAGTTTTCACTAATAGCACAAAAACTGCTAAACATGATACTGGGCAAACTAGTTCGATTAGAAGGACCATGTTAATGAATTTTCCAATTCCTGACCTGCTGAGAAGGAGCACTCTGAGTGATAAATAGGGATGACTAAGTCAATACTGGTGCTTACAGGAGGATGCTTCCATTTCAGTATAAGGGAGAAACAAAACACCATAGAACAGAGAATGAAGTAATTGCAAACTCGTGTAGAGCAAAGTAATGATTACTTATGGTTGAATCCCACAGACTCAGTATACAGTCATCTGTACAGTAATAGCAATATTCTCTGAAAAAATTACACAAAACTTGCCTGCACTCTCTTTGTGGCAGGAATCTCTCTTTGTACAAAGCAAAAGAACAGATATTATGGGAGCCAAACAAATTTGTTAGTTAAGTGATCACTTTATTCTTATGCCCAGTTCTTCTAAATAGAACTGCTGTGATTTCACAAATTTATTAAAATAAATATGTAAAGCAAAATCAGTCAAAAGCAATGTTTAATTCTCAGATTTACAGTTTTTTGAATCTTTCAAATCCTGTCTTTGAATGTATCTTCACCAGAATTAGCTGGTGTTCTCTCTCTTGCTCTCAGAAACCCCAGTGACAGTACCAGCAGATTTGTAGACTAGCCAATGCCTAACACCTGGGAATAGCTTTTTCCACTTTTCATCATACTTTTATCAGCCTTTTTATCCTTTCATCCACACATGCACATATGCCTTTGACAGTCTAAATAATTACAAATTTTTTTTAAGTGCCCCAGCTCTTAAAAGGTAGAAAGACTACTTGAAAGTAATTAAATTCTTTAAATCTCTTGGATTTGGACTGACAGACTTATAACTTAATTACAGTCAAAACATAAGGTGAGATGATAGCTGGCTTTGCAATTTTACATTCATATGCTTCCATTAGTTGCTTTTCACAACAGTCTTTTTCAGACTCACCTCTTCTGCACTTCCAAAGAATCAAGGGGAAAACACAAAATCAGATTTTGAGGCAACTGTTCTGCTCCATCTCTGGGATCCACAGTTACAGGCAGTTACAGGATTGTCATAGTCCAGTATTTCATTAAACAGATTCTTTTAAGCCATTTTGGTTTGATTATTTTCCCACCCTTAGATTTTTTTTTTAACTAAATATAAACCCTCTGACAAACTGAACAGGAAGGTTCTTCCATGTATGGAAGAAATCCAAAGACGTCTGTCAAAGCTAATGAGCGAGCAGCTTTTACAGATAAGTATGGACAGTTCATAACCATTCCACTAAAAACTGTAACTTAGGTTTCATTTTCACTCCACATGAAGATAATTTTACATCACCTTCCTCTCCTCTGATCCATACTGTTTCTCTCATATCAATCGTTAACCATTTCACAGATTTCTGCTCTGCCAGCTGTTAAAGCAGTAAGGGTACAAAGCCTTGCCATGCATTTCAGTACAGGGTTGTGCTGTGGACAGCACTGGCTCAGTCCATGGTTACCACCACCCTTTAGCAGGTACATTATTGTTATACAATATGAACACCTATATACGTCATCATATTGTATGATATTGTATCATACAATATGATACAGAAATAGCTGTACAGAAAGAGCAGCAATGCAAGATGCCATACTAGCCATTATGTTATTTATGGCTCAAACCTGGGCTGTCTTTTAAAAACTAGACACACTATGCATACTAAAAATTCAGTCAAAAATTAGTGTTGCAAATCTGTCCCCACAGATCTTATTCAGGCTGAAGAATTGTGTTTAGAGCTGCTGGTTTGCTTACATGTTTGCAACAGTTCTTTTAAAGAAAAGAAATACAGCATTGTGGACAAGTGTTAGATGTATCTATGTATATGTTCTTTCCTAGATGTATATGAAGATACAGGAAGAGGAAATCAAAGCATCTGAAAATAGTAAAGTTTCTTCTTCTTCTTCTTCTTCTTTATAACATATTGAAGGAAATGCCAACAATTTCAAGAGTAGCAAAGGCTTATGCCACCTTGTCTTGAAATAGCAATTTTTCTTCAGACTGAAAAACTTCTCTTGGGGTAGTCCAAATTGCCCATTTTTAAATTATTTTTTCTTTTTTTAAGTAATAATTCCTCAGAAACTAGGGATATTTAAATTCTTTTTTTTTTTTCATTATCAGTGAATACAAAAGACAAAGGAATAGCTTAAAAAATGCACTATAAAACCTACGATTTTTTTAAAAAAACATTCAGCAGAAGCACAAGAAAGAACAAGGCCCAAGGTGCCATCCATGCTTGTTTTATTTTAAAAATAGCAAAAAATAGCAAACAGAAGGTTTTTTTATTTGGGTTGACTTTCACAAGAGAAGACCTCCATACTCGAATGAACAGTAATAAATGCAGTATGTCAGATTGCAAAATACATTTGGGGTTAAGAATAAAGTAATTCTTTTAATTCATTTAATGTGGCATAATTTTCAAGCATAGAAATGGATTTGTCAGGCAGTTACAAAAATGTACATATGTATATTATTTAGAATAATGTGTTCTCATTAAATTCTGTTTCCTTTGCATTTGAAATGGTTTTCTATTTGCTGCTGAAGAGCCTGTTTCTCATTGACTAGGAGAGTAAGTAATATTCAAGTTATTTCCAAAAGCTGCAGGAAGTTCAGGCTATTTGTACATTAAAATAATTCTCCAGTGCAAATGAAACCAATCTTACTCTGTTTAAACAGTGTGCTACAAGTCCCTTGCAAATAGAAGAATACTCTTCCAGAAGTTTCTGTTAGCTGGCTTCTGAATCCTGCAGGAAAATTCACTATTATTTCCACGGGGTTAGCTATTAGTTGGTGTCACTTAGTTGCAGTCAGGGAAAAGAGGAAATATGAACTTAATTAATTTACAGGGGGAAAAAAGTTACTTCAGGGACAGTTAAATGTGCATAAAATCATTACTGTGACTAATGAGAATGCAGACAGTGAGCCCACCCTTTAAGACAGGCTGTATGGTATTATTTAAAGCACTATGTATTAAGAAAAATAATGTACACTTATTTAAAATACCTCCCTAATCCATATTTACTAAACATTCTTCCTGTCTCCATCTTTCAAAGACAAGGAAAAAATAGCATGGTTTTCAGTCAGCATTCTGATCTTGTGAGGCTGAAAAGCAAAAAAAGGAATAAAACAACTGCACCACTGCATGTGAGGAAAATAGGCCTTGGTATTACACAAAGGCAGCACGTGAAGCCCAAATAGGCAAGTAGTAGTGATATGATCTCAAAAATAACATAGTCACCAGATTTGCTCCCTAAGAAATAGCCATCTGACATGAAGGCATCAGGCATAGGCTCTAAGTAGAAACGTTTGGGCAGAACTCTGAAAGACTGAGAAGCTTAGAGAGTTCCCCATAAATTCCTCCATTGTTCAGTCAAAACAGACTTCATGTGTGTTTCAAATCAGGACAGCTCTGTGGGATTTGCAAAGTCTGATTTTCACCCTCTTTTCTCCTCCTCTTATTGCTGGAGCAATAATTTTAATTGCTCTGAAGGGAGTATGCTGATTAGTGAAGTGCTTGAGACCATTCCATCTTACCCCATTGGATGTCACTGCAGGCCACAGGGCAGGAAATGCAGATAAATTAAGAGAAAGTTTCTCCACCTCTGGGCCCTCTGTATTTAAAACTGC